CATTCCCGTCCAGCCGCAGCACCTGCAGCCGCGAGTAGTTCACCACGTCCACCACGCTGCAGAAACTGCTGATGGAGAACTCTGCAGGGGAGAGGAGATGGAGCTCAGCACAGGTTTCAGCCCCCTCAAACCCTCCTGGTGGGGCAGGTTTCTGGGGAGCGATGGGAGATGTGGCAGAGAGGCTGCTCTGGGCTGAGGGGCTGAGCTCTTTGTGTTAGGAAAGAATGAAAACAGCCCCAAATCGCCAATTTTTCCTGTGAATTTGGGCTCAACACTCTTTAGCTCAAAGGGTTCCTGATGCCCCCAAGCTGCAGGCAGAGGAGCCCATGAGTTTGTGCCTGGCCAAGGGTTTGGAAGCAGAGTCCTTGGCTCTGTTGCCCAGCCTGGATGGAGAGCTCAAAGCCAAGGGGAGCCAGATAAACACATTGCTTTTCATCAGGAATTGCCTTTGCAGCTTCTTTTTGAGGCTTCATATGCTGCAGCCTCCAGCCCCTGAACCCCCAGGCAGAGTGGCCGGGAGGGAGGATGTCCCTGTCCCTGTCCCCATCCCAGACATCCCCTCTCCCTTCATCCACTGCCAGCACCAGACAGGGAAATTCCAGCCCAGCCCAGGCTGGATTTGGAAGGAGGAGATGGAACAAACTCCCGCATACATTTTTCCTGCAGGATTTGGGACTAGAGGGCAGCAAAGCTCCAGGCCGGGATGCCGCTGGGAAGGCAGTGGGATGCGGGGGGACCCCTGCACCCACAGACTGGGAACTGGGGGAGCTGCACACACAGCGAGGACCTCCGGGGGGGCTGGAGGGACACACGACCCCGGTCCAAATGCAGCTTGGGGTGGTGCTGCACACCTGGACCCGCATCCCTCGGTCCCGGGGATGCTGGAAAGGTCAGCGGCAGAACCGGCAGCGTTTGGAGAAACTGCAGCCCTGCCAAACTCGAGCGGCTCCGCCGTGGCTTCGTGGCATTTGTGGGCAGACGGGAACAGCTACAGCTTTTGAAAGCAAACATTTGGGAATCTGTTCTTGTTTCTGTCGCTTCCCCGGTGCGGGGTTGTGTGTTTTCTCTGCAACAGCTGATGGCTGCACTGACACATCCCCAGCCCCATTCCCATCCAGCATCCTCCGGGAGGGTCCTGCCCTCGGGGTCTGGCAGGTGAAAGGAGCAGGGCTTGGTTTTGCCAGGAGATTGCTCGGGGGTTTATTTTTCTAGCTTATCTTTATAAATAGCAGCCCCAGAACAATCTGTTCCTTTTATTTATTTGTGTATTAAGTGGAGTCATTTCAGACCTGGCAGAAGATGCTGAGTTGAAGGCTCCAATTGCTGAGAGCTCCTGTCTGGCCCAGTGCTGGTGAAGCTGAGCCCCTTGGCTGCAGACTGACCCTTGGGGTCTCTGGGGCCGTGGATGGGACTGTGGGAGGAGGGAAGAGGGGGCTGTGCTGGCCCTGGGCACTGCAGACCACCAGGGACCATGGGGCACATCCCTGTCCCCTGCATTGGCACTGCTCAGGGTGGCATGTGGGGACCCCCCAGCTCTGTCCACTGCTGGTGACCCTCTGCCTGTGTGCCCTGATGGACCAAAGCCACTGTCCCTCCCCAGCTGGGGCACCACCTGGTTTCTGGCACCTCCAAAGGCTTCTGATAATGCCCAGTAAAACCAGCGCAATGGTCCATGGATTACCCAGGAGTTTTTGGCTCTGCGTTGTTTGGACACAACAGGTCCCATTCCTGCCTTGCTCAGAGCCACCTGGGAGTGTCCCAGATTCCAGCTGCCTGCTCAAACCATTACCCCAGGTACTTTGCTACAGGTTCTGCATCCCCATCTCCCCATCCCCTGCACCACCATCCCCTGCACCACCCTTCCCTCACCACCACCCCTCGGCTGACCATTTCTGCTCACCATTGATTTGGTTGCCCTGCAGGTAGAGGTTCTCGAGGTTGGTGTTGACTCGAGGGATCTTCTGGAGTCGGTTGTAGGACAGGTCCAGCTCCAGGATGCTGCTGCTGTTGAATGTGTTGCTGGAGAGACCTTGATTTGTCAGGCTGTTGTGGGACATCCGGACATAGAGCAGCCTGGGAGACACCTTGAAATAGTCATCAGGGATGGTGTTGATGTAGTTGTACTCTAGGTAGAGCTGTTCCAAGGATGCTGGGAGCCCATCAGGGACTTTCCTGAGGTGGTTGTAGCTCAGATCAGCAAGGATCAAGGACTTGAGCCCTTTGAGGGATGCTCCCATCTCAAAAATGAAGTTGTGGCTGAGGTACAGGGCGGTGAGGTTCTCCAGACCCTCCAGAGCGTTGGAGGGGACCCTGGAGATCTGATTGTAGGACAAGTGGAGCTCTCTGAGGGAGCGAGGCAGTGGGCTGGGCACCTTGGTCAGGTTGTTGTTGTTCATGTACAACCTCTCCAGGTTCCTGAGCTTCCCAAAGACCCTCTTGCCCATCTTCTCACTGCTGATCTGGTTGTTGTGCAGCGCCAGCCACTCCAGCTCGGTGGCATTGTCGAAGGCTCCCTCCTGGATGGCAGTGACGTGGTTGTTCTGGAAGTAGACGTACTTCATGCGCGAGGGCACGAAGGGAAGGTAGCGCAGGTTGCGCGTGTCGCAGTACATGGCCGAGGAGAAGTTCGGGGGACAGTCACACTCCTGGGGACACTGCCAGGAGGAGGTTTGCTGGGGCTCAGGGCCCAGCTCTGGCTCTGTGTCCGGAGCTGAGGGGTAGGAGTACACGTAGGGAGGGTTCTCATCCTCGTAGTAGGGCATGTAGTTGTAGGAGGAGACGCGGGACTGGCGCATGTAGTACTGCAGCCACGCCAGGTCTTCCTCCTCGTTGTACTGGGCCAGGGAGGCCCCACAGAGCCCAGAGAGGAGGAGGATGGTGACCCAATGCATGGTGCTGGAGGGACCTGGTGGGGGAGAAACGGGGAGGAAACCATCAGCAGTGTCAGGCCTGATGGAAGGGTGAGCTGCACCCCAGGGCCTGGCAATCCATGCATGGACTTGGCAGCAGAGCTGGAGAATCAGGAGACCTGAGTGACTCCTAGCCAAAAAAACCACAGCTGCTGACATCTCCTGTGTGCACTCACCTCATCTTCCCCTTTTCACCTCAAGCCTGTGAGAAACCTCCATCCCAGTGGAGATTTGCTTGCAAAATCCTGATTTATGGGTTTCTCTGTTAGAGAGGAGGAGAGGATGGAGATATGGGACATGTGGCCTGAATTTGGGTCAGGTCACACAGTTGTGCTCCAAGGAACCCAGAGCTGGCTCTGCATGGGAGGGAGGAGAAGGGACTTGGATGCTCTCTGGCCAAGCAGAGTGGAAGCTCTGAGACCAGGTTGGTATCAGGAGCTCAAGGCACATTTCGGTGGAGCTCAAGGCCTGTTTCGATGGAGCTCAAGGCATCTTTGGATGGAGCTATATTTATGCTACGCTCGCTGGCGACACGATTCACTGTGGGTTTCATCCAGCTCTCCCTTCCCCCAAGGAGCTGCAGGATGCTCAGGGCTGATGTAAATCCTGGTAAACAACTTCTGCTTAATTTCTGAAGTGAAACCATTTCCCAGCTCAGATTTGCCCTGCTCAGCCCTGACAGGAGGAGGGACAGCACCCACCAGGGACAGGAGTGTCACCAGGCCTGGGGATGGACCTTCTTGTGACACTCAGCCACGAGGGTTGGCACCCAAAGAAGAGCAGGGCTGGGAGCTGGGAGCAAGGCAAACCTGTTCCTGAGCCCTGTGGCCTGGCACGGGCTCCACAGCCACCCTGTGCCATGCCCACAGCACCTGGCACCGACAGCCAGAGAACTCCAGCTGTGGCTGTTCCTCCTGCCTGGGGATAAATGAGCACAGAGGAGAGTCCTGGGCTGAATGAGCACACACAGTGTCCTGGAGTGAGGCAGCTTGAAATCCCTCCAGGAAACGCGCAGGGCTGTGCTGCTGGGAGCAGGAGAGGAGTCTCTCCCTCCTGCTGGCTCCTACCTACGTGGCTGGGAGCTCATCCCTGCCAGCTCCCCCAGCAGCGTGGGGCAGCCCAGGGGCAGGCAGGGCAGTGTCCCCTCGCCGGGACAGGTCACCTGGTGACTCCTCACCGTGTGCCCAGCCTGCAGCAGGCAGGGGATGCCTGGCCTGGCTGACAAAGAGGGCACAGTTTGCAGGCACTGAGGCATCCTGGCATGGGAAGAAAAGAGGGATTGAGCCGGCAGGCATAGCTCCCTGCCTTTCCCCTTCTCCCCCTCCTTCCTCTCCACATGCCTGGGCAGGGGAGACGTGGTCCTGCGGGATGCTGTGTGCCACGGGGGAGCTTGGCAGTGGCAGAGGAGTTTCTCCTCCTCCTCCTCCTCCTCCTGCTGCTGCGGCTTCTCCACCCATGCACAGCCACTTGGCAGCCCCTTCCCAGGGGCCCCTCTGGGGCAGGACCCATCCATGGGGTCTCTCCACCTTTCCTAGTGCCTTCTTCCACCTGCTGCTGACCCCAGAGCCTGTCCCCAGCAGACACCACTGACCCTCTTCATTTGGCAGTGGCTTCTCCCCTCCTGGTGGGCTTCATCCCTGGGTTTGGGGTGGGATGCAACCTGATTGTTCCAGCCACAGGATCCATGTCCTCTCCAAGTGTCCCTGCACCATGCCAGAGGCTGCCGGGCTAACGGGGGCAGCTCCTCATTCCAAGATGAAGCAGGATTTGGAGCGAGGGGCTTCATGGACTGTGGCCATCCACAAACTTGGCCCATTGCTGCTGTGCCAGGTGTGAAACCAGCTCCCCCTTCCCAGGGGGATGGGATGGGCAGGGGGGCACTGCCCACCCTGGCTGTTGATGGGGGAAGGTGTCCAGCTCCCAGCCAAGTGGGCATGGAGATGCCAGTGGGGCAGGAGAGGTAGGCAGGAGGGGAGTTGGGTAGAAAGGAATGTGGGCAGCAGGAGAGGTGGGCAGGAGGAGAATTGGGCAGCAGGAGAGGTGGGCAGGAGGAGAGATGGGCAGGAGGAGAATTGGGCAAGAGGAGAATTGGGCAGGAGGAGAGGTGGGCATTAAGAGAGGTGGGCAGGAGGGGAGGGGGGGATGGAACGGGATGTGGGCAGCAGGAGATATGGGCAGGAGGAGAATTAGGCAGGAGGAGATGTGGGCAGGAGGAGAGGTGGGCATTAGGAGAGGTGGGCAGGAGGGAAGGTGGGTAGAAAGGGATGTGGGCAGCAGGAGAGGTGGGCAGGAGGAAAATTGGGCAGGAGGAGATGTGGGCAGCAGAAGATATGGGCAGGAGGAGAATTGGGCAGGAGGAGAGGTGGGCATTAGGAGAGGTGGGCAGGAGGGAAGGTGGGCATTAGGAGAGGTAGGCAGGAGGAGAAGTGAGAGCTGTCTGCAAACAGAGCAACTCCTGACAGGTGAAGACAAATGAAGCTGCAGGAGCAGGCAGGATGGAAAACGGGGCAATAAGTAATGGCACTGCAAGGTGATCTGAGAAAGGTACTG